ACACCGGGTAGCTCTCTCCTCACCCTGCTGGGCCTGAGCTGTGCCAGGACACCACTGGCACACCGGGCAGCTCTCTCCTCACCCTGCTCTCCGTGGTGCCAGGACACCGCTGGCACACCGGGCAGCTCTCTCCTCACCCTGCTGGGCCTGAGCTGTGCCAGGACACTGCTGGCACACCAGGCAGCTCTCTGCCCACCCGCTCTCCATGGTGCCAGGACACTGCTGGCACACCGGGCAGCTCTCTCCTCACCCTGCTCTCTGTGGTGCCAACACACTGCTGGCACACCGGGCAGCTCTCTCCCCACCCTGCTGTCTGTGGTTTGCCTCTTTTTCAAATTCCTCTGTTACAGGGCTCTTAAGGGTTGCAGGGTGAAGAGAGAGATAAGAATGTTGATTCTATGTTCAGAAGGCTTGATTTATTAATTTATGATATATATTACATTATAACTATACTAAAAAGAAATAGAAGGAAAAGTTCTCAGAAGCTAGCTAAGTTAAGAATAGAAAAGGAATGAATAACAAAGATCTGTGTCCTGGCAGAAAGCAAGAACAGCTCTGCCGTGAGTGGTCAGTAAATCCAAACATCCACAGGAGACCAATCACAGATCCACCTGTTACATTCCACAGCAGCAGATAACCATTGTTTGCAATTGCTGCTGAGGCCACAGCTTCTCAGAAAGGAGAAAAATCTTAAAGAAAAGACTTTTCTGAAAAGATGTCTGTGACATCCCTCTCTCCCTCCCTCGCTGTGCCACAGGTGGCTGAAAGGCAACCGCACCCGTGCTGAGGACACGTGCTCCAGCCCAGCCCAGCACCGGGGACAGCCCATCAGGGACACCCCGGCCCTCCGCGCCTGCAAGCTGCCCACCAAGAGGTCCAGGAAGGGGAGCCGCCATTAAACACGGTAAGAATGTTCCCCTTTAGTCACAACAGAAGCCACAGCACCTTTGGTGGCGTCAGTCTTAAATGCCACCAGGGTTTGGCTTACAGCAGCTCATCCACCCACCCACACATGTCTCTGCTCAGAGCTGCACCATCTCCTGGCTCCATGAGCTCCCAGAGCAGAGAACGTGCCTGTAGCATCAGGGATGGAATCAGCTCTGTGAAAAAAATACAGGGCTAAAGACAGGCCTGGGGCAAAACATGTAAATAAATATGAAATAGAGAAGTAAGGATCCCGAAAATACACACAGAATAATTTTGAAATCTTCAGAGCTTCTATTGCAACATGGGAAAAATTTATCTCTTTTTGCAGCAATCACTGTACATAAGGAAAAAAACCAAAAGCCCTACACTGTAACAGGGTTTAAGCCTCAATCATGCTTCAGGCACTATGGTGACATGCACCCTGTCCTAACACCAAAACCCCATATCAAGTCAAGATGTAATTGTTATGCAAAAGGGATAAACACTACATATCAAAACAAGGGTGGATTTAGCTGACTCCTACCCTGAGCTGGGACCACACAAGCTTTACTTCTCTAACCAGCTGGAGATGCCCAGTCCTTTGCCCTATATAGTTTCTCCAGGCCTGGTGTGAAATTCAGGACAGGGCATTGTTGGGAAGACTTGCCCCAGACTGCCCAGCCCATAGGAAAGTCGATATCTTTCATAAGGAGCAGCTCTTGATTCAGCACTTCCTTTTCCACAACTATGATTCCCTCCAAGACAGTCAGGTATTTAAAAATGTCTGTTGCCTTCAAATGAGTATCCCAGAGGAGGGAGGTTCAAGATGGGAAATATTCTTTGGGTAAGGAGGTGATTCAGACACCAGGCTGCCTTCCCCTCCAGCAATGAGCTTTTGCTGACAGCCACCAAGGCAAACACCAGCTGTGAAAACTGATCACACAGACACCTTCCACAGCTGGAAACTACCAGGGGTATTAAGTTCAGCCTGCAGAGGAGCAAAAAAGCCACAACTGTCATCACTCCACCCCAAGCATTTTACTTTTTCCCATCCCAGAAATAGGCCCGGAGTTTGTACAGATTCCAGAGGACTTTGAATGAGCCTGCAAGTTTGTAAGCTCTTGGGGAAGGGACCTTTGCTTATTTGTTAGAGAAAGTGCAGCGATCCTGCACTGCATTGTATGAAAAGAGGTGGGCATTGTGCCATGTTATGGCCTTTTGATCCCCACTTCACTAAGGATATGCACATCAGGGTGGAGAAAGGAAATTTATGACCAAAATGTCAGGGATTATGCCAGCTGCTCTGTGCCTTTCCAAAGTGGTTATTTCTCTTGTAGTGCCAGAGGGTTTTATGGATTAGAGATGGAAATACCAGTCATTCCATACAGGGCAGGAAAAGTTCTGCTCTAAGCACGGAAAAACTTCAGTTTTCTAAACCACTGTACTTAAACATAGTTTATTTACAGGTCTGACCATTCTTAATCTTCTTTCCCTGCCTGAACTCAATCCCAGTTCACTCCTCCATGGGGAGAATAAGAAAACCATGACAATAATACCTGGTTGGGTTTTTTTTTTCCTGTAGCACTTTCCATCCAGCCCCCTCAAACAGGTTTACAAGTGCTAATGAAATAGAAAACTATTTATTCCAATCTTGCAGAAGACAAAGCTCAGTGCCTTCAGGTGTCAGTGCCAAAATGCAGGTACACAAACCCACTCCAGTGTGGTGAGCATGAATTTTATGAAAGTGCCTCTGATTTCATCATGCACCCCTTGAGAGCCAGGCAGCTGTCACATACAGGAGTCTGTATTTCAGGGATGAGGACTGACTTGGGGCACATTTAAGATCAAAAGCTGCTTGGTAGTTTCTAAGACTACACCTGCCCTGGATTTTCAGAATCAGGGCATCAAAATACTCCACTACTCTTGAAGATTTCATTCTGGGTTTCCTTCCTTTGCCAAGAAAGTGTTCCTTGACCACCAGCACTTTGGGTAAGATCCTCAGGAGTCACACAGAGAGTTGGCAGAGTAGCTCAGAGATAGGACTGACCCATTTCCTCTGCTGTGGGAAGTTGTAACAGCTCCTTGACTCCAAACTCTTCACTGTCAAGTATGGGCTTCATCCACTGGTTTAAAAATAGACAAATGTTACAAGTTTACTGCTCTGCTGGAAAAATCCCCTTAAAGGTGTGGCCTTCTCTCTTTTTTAATGCTAGCAGGCTCCAGTATGGCCCGTCCTGGTGACCGGTCACTTCAACCATCAGGAAACTACTGACTTCTGAGTCCTTCCCTGAGCTTCTCCTACCTGTCAGGAAGCACTTCTGATATATATGAACACCTGCAGCCTCCTCTGAATCCCTGCTTCTCTGCTGATCACAAGGATGGAATCCACCTTCTCAATCTTTTCTGACATCTATGTATTTTAAAAGAGGCCTCTTTAAAAACTAAACTATGCATGACCACACACTAAGACAAGCTAAGCTAGATCCTGCTGGTAAAACACAGCCATCTTTCCCAGAAGAAACAGAACCCACATCCCTGATCAACCAGCTGGTTGCTGTCTCTCCCATTCCAGAGGAGAGGGAGCAAAGGGGAAGGTGGGAGGATCCCTACCCCAGCTGCTTGATAAGGAAAATTGGTCTCAAGCCATGCCAAGAGACTCCCCCGCCTTCCCACAGAGGGGATCCCTGCAGGCCAGGGCTGAGGGGACAGGTGAAGCAGTGACCAAGAGCCAGTGGCCCTGAGGCAGCAATCTCCCAAAATTGGCCAGAAATCCTTTAAGGGAAACAGTACTGGGAACCTCCAAACCTGGAGCCATCGAAAGACTGGATTTCCCTCCCACTCTGTGGGGTCTCCAAGATGTCCAAGAGGAGAAGGTGCAGTTGGCTCAGGCACCCCTCCTCTCCTTCCCACCCATACTCCAGAGATCTAGCAGGACACCAGGATGACTATGGTTTATTGTCACAGCTATTTCAAAGCCACAGTTGCAATTCAACTACATTTTTAAATCCTAAAGAGTTATATAAATATATGTCTATTTATTCCTCTGTAACAGTGTAAATGACCTTTAAGAGGGTGAACACTCCTCTGCCTCCCATATAGAAATCGAATTGTATATTTTCTTATGTACATCTTCTGTATAAAGCTCTTGCTGCAAAGATGAAATCAACAAGTCTCTGTGTGTCTGTCTGAGGGCTGGAGGGATCAGCAGTAACATGAGACCAGTGGCACAAATATAGACTTAATCCTCTTTATCCCATGGGCAGAGCAACTGTTTGGGAGGGTTTTATTATTTCGCTTGCTACAAAACAGGAACATGTGACACCTAATGAGTCCTGGGCTCTCACAGTAATGCTTGAAAATATTTTGTGAGGCCAAACTCAATTTTACTATGAAAATAGGTAGCTGTCACCTGACAGAGCTCAAGCAGCAGCACCAACCCTGGTGTTTCCAGCTCGGCATTAAGAGCATCATATCCGGGAAAAAAACCTGGCTGCATCCAAGGCAGCTTCAGGATGGATGCCCTGGATTCCCCTGGTCTGTGGCAGAGCACAGAGCTGTCCCTGTAAAACCCCACTGCTGTGCAGTCAGGGCCTGCCAACAACACCAGCCTGATCTGCCTCCCAGAGCCACATGTTTATCCATCACCACTGGCTGCTTCCTCAGCCTTGGGGAGCAGCATGGTAACAAATTAATCTCCTTTAGGGCAAAACAAACTAGTCCTTTTCTGGCTCAGCCATTCTGCATGCACAGGACATGCCCAGGAAATGTGTCACCTGGAGGGTCACTGTCCTCCACATGCAGCACAGGCTGGTGGCTCTGGCACAGGCCCAGCGTGGTGGAGCAGCAGGAGTCTGGCCCAGCTCTGCTGCCCTTCTAGCAGTGCAGCAGTGGATGGCACCATTGCCACCACCTGACTCAGACATGACAAAAACCATGCAATGAGGTTTTACATCCACAGGAAATCCAGGATGGGCAAAGAAACTTGACAGCTCCACACCAAGAGGGACATAAGCACCCACCCACACCAGCATGAACCAGCATTGCCTCTGCCACCATAATCCTGGCAGTGTGTACAACTGAACGTCAGTAAAAGTTTTGAAATTAGCAGCAGAATTTCACTTAATGACATTGAATGTGATGCCTTGTCTTCTTCTGAAGCTTCCTCCCCAGACAGCTCAGCAGCAACCAGGCAGAACCCCCACTTCTGTTTTCCAGGTTTTCTGAGCCTTCCCTCCTCAGCCTGATCCCAGCAGCTCCAGGACCACCAGGTACCACTGTGATCCAGAGAACCCCAACTCGGCATCTCACCACGACCAACACCCCTTGAAGGTCTGGTCACAGCCACCACAACTCACCACAACCTCTGGCATGTGCATCTTGGTCATAATTGTCTTCATGAGCTCAGGGGGAACAGGAGAACCTCCAATAATTCCTGGAAGGAAGAGGAAAATACCTTGGAAACTAGCTATTTATTCCCAGGAGTGGTCCCTCAAATGGCTCTCCACTCCCAGATTTAACGCTGGCAAGACCTGTGGGATACACTGGTTCCTGTCAAAATACTTCCTAAATCTTTTTATACAGATCCTAGTTGTTCTAGAAGCAAAGGCTGCAGCAAGGCCAATTTGCCTTTCTCAACTGGAAAATAAACTCTATAACTCAAACCTAGTCCAACCTACATTTCCCCAAAAGTGGAAAGATTCATAGCAGAAAGAGACACAGTTTTATAGTGGGACAAACACTCTCATTGATCATCACCATAAAACCAAAAACCTTTCCTCTTGCCTTGCACAGAGCAGCTCTTTTGGGAGAGGGTAGATCCCACTGGCACCTGTTCCAACCTAGGATGACAGAGCAAAAGAGCAGGGTAATAGATGGGCTTTGGTGGGGAACAGGATGAAGACAGGATTGTTTTGCACATAGCAGAGATGATTAGGTAACTTGCTAAAATATTTCCTTATGCTCCAGCACCACCTCCTCTCCGTACTATTATTGCCTCAAAAGGACTGGTGGTCTGCCCAGCTATTTCCACGGCGGGCTGGGACAAGAGAGGAAGCTCCAGCACATGGTATCACACCCTCCAGCATGAGGATGAATGACTTCAGAAACAAGCAGGAAACTTCAGGTCTGAGGAAGAAATCTGAGCTTGGCTCCGCTTTACGGACTGCACTGGTCTGAGACACAGAAAGCATCTGCTGCCACATGGTGGTGGTTGGAGAGACGAGGAAAATCAAGCTCTTCCAGACACCTCCCCTTGCAGCTAAAATAGAAAGGTCCTTCCCTAGACTGCCTTCAGATGAAGGAGTCATAAAATACATAATGATGGAAGGATTCCCCAAGGAAAAGAAATGTAGCATCAAATTAACAGGGGGGAAACACAAGGCTCATGCAACTAAATTCTTCCCATCAGAAGAGATGTGTGCTCACAAAACTAAAAATATGGCCTCCCAGCAGGGAACCAGGAATATCCTGGTTCTCAGGATCTTTCCATTTGAATTCTGGGACTTACCTCCCTGGAGAGTTGACAGGTCATAGGAGTCAAAGTCCGGCTGGGAGAGTATGTCTATGAACATGGTGGGTGTGCCAAGGATGAAGGCGCATCTTGAGAAAGAAGGGATAAAAAGGCAAAGCTGCAGAGGTGGAAACTGGGGCAGCCCCAGCTCAGCACCCATCCCATCCTGTCCCATCCCGTCCTGTCCCATCCTGTCCTGTCCCATCCCCTCCTGTCCCATCTGGGGCTGCAGAGCAGCAGCACAGAGGCAGGCACAGCAGATGTGCTGTTCATCAGCATACACAGACATACATCTGCATAAAATACAGAGACCTATGTACATGTGTGATGCAGACAGCATCTTTTCTTTCCCAAGCTGTACTTGAGGAACAATATGGACACACTGTCCCAGCAGCAGAGCTGGACTTGGAAAAGGAGGGCAGGTGTTCAGCTGTGAAAACACAGCAGCTACAGCAAACCAAGACAGCACTATGCTTCCCAAGCAAAGCCCTATGGTGACAGGAAGGATTCCTTAATTTCAGAAGAAGGATGACACACTCCCAAGCACAGCTGAAAAGGCAGACTTTGGTTCCTGAAGCACTTGGGCAACTGAGTGCAGCAGCAAATCTGCCTCTCCCACTGTGGGAAGAAGAGCACAAGCAAGGTCCTGGCAGGTGGGGCAAGGGAAGGAGCAGAGCCACGGGGCCAAGAACTGCTCCTGAGCAAAAGAGGCTCTCACTTCTCTCGAGACACGGCCTCCAGCACAGCCTTGCCCTCGAAGCTGGGCGATGAGAAGATGCAGGAGGTGCCATGCAGAGCCATCACCATGCAGCCTCCCACCGACGCCAGGCAGTGGTAGAGAGGCGCAGGGAGCGCACAGCGACGCTCCTGGGATCAACCAGAGAACAGTGAGCAGAGGAGAGGAGAGGACACCTCCCAGGGTGTGTCCTGCCCATCTCCCTGCTGAAGAGCAAAGATCTGAGCAGTGACATTTTTCCTGATCCCCTTGGCTGGAAATCTGACAGTCCACTGTGCTCCTGTTAGTTGAAAACACAACTGACACATCCTGCCTTTAATAAAAATCAGTTTGGGAGGTTTTTTATGTCAATATTTCATCCTGTAATTTTGCAATGTCTCTTCTTTGCTGGGCTCCTTGGTTTGCTATTGTTTTTACATTATATACCAAAAGAGACAAATGGGAGTGCTGTGAGAGGCATGAAATGTGCAGGACTTGGCACATGCTATTCATTTTCTTTTTGGCACATGCTATTCACTTTCTTTTTTTTTTTTTAATCACCAAAGGCTCTGAAGACTGATTGAAACAACGCATCTATTCTCTGGATCAAAGCTGATGTGTTAGAGATAAGTACTTCAGAACTTCAAAAGAAAATATTTGTCTTTAACATTTTCTTTAAGAAACCACAAAAAGAGAGGTCATATCCTGATAAGAGTTATAAGACTGTAAACATGACATGAAACCAAGTCCTGTAAATCAAATTAAAACCTCAGTCAACAGAATACAAAGCTAACATCCAGAGTCTTGTAATTATTTGAAATGAGTATTCACCAAAATGAAAAGTGATTAATTTCATGTTTTTCCCCCATAAAAAGATAGCTTTTTTGCCTAAAAAAAAAACCCTTCACACGAAACTAAAATGAAAGCTCAATTAACTCCCTTGAAATGCAAAATGTTATGCATTAATATCCCTCAATGTCATTTGCAGTAAAACATCCTGCCCTTCCACTGAGTAAACACCAGCATTCTCCACATGTGGTTTCTCCACTGCAGTGGAGGCCTCCCCAAACCCTGTTCCCACCAAACCCACCTGGCCTGTGATCCCCAGCCTCACACCAACCAGATAGGCATTATTCACAATGTTCCTGTGGGAGAGCGTGGCTCCTTTAGGGCTTCCTGTTGTTCCCTGGAAGACACAGGGAATTATGTAAAAACACCACCTTTTCTGAGGATGAGCTCAGGGGAGATTCCTCCTGGCAGACTCTGGGCTGATCTTCCACTTTTTTCTCCTATCAGACCTGGGAGATTGGTTTTACTTTTTTAACAGCACCTGAATCCCAAAAAATAGCCCAATTTCAGCTGAACAGAGTTCACCTGGCACTCTCTCATCTCCATCAGCCCTTGACAAAGGGCTGAACAAAAAGAATGGAAGAAGGGGAAATGGTAGAACACTTCTTCCACCCTCCTGCAAAAGCTGGAAGCTTGGTCTCATAGGGAAACAGGAAGAAAATGTGATGTGTGGCATTGCAGCCCGTGCTCCCAGTGAGGAAGCCAAGCCCAGGGCATGGAGCTGGCAGGGCACCTACTGAAGTGAACTGGATGTTGATGGGCTCATTGCAGGACAGCGTCCTCTGCACGGCCCTGAGCTGCTTCACGTGGCTGCTGTCCCCAGCCTGCACCACCTCATCCATGTGGAAGGTGCCAGGCAGCTTCGAGTCACACATGATGACAATGGACAAGTCAGGTAGCCTGGCAGAGAGAAAAATACCATCAACAAGAAAAGAACAAGGAGAAAAGTGCCCAGACAGGCACACACTGGTCAGGGCAAACCTCTGGGCCAGCCTAACTTGTTCTCTTCAGATGAGACCTCCTGTGAGTGTTTCTTCAGCAAAACCTGTGTTGTGCAGCTGAGGGGACACAAGGCAGGACATGGCTGGGAGGGCAGTGCAAAGACAGCAGATGCTCCTAACTCACCTTTTGCTCTTTATTCCCCCTGGACTGGATTTTTCTAGCTCGGGACATGACTGCTTTAGAATATCATAGTATTTCTGTGTTCTAAATTGACTGGGAAACACCAGTGCCTTACAGCCAACCTGTGAAGGAAGACAGAAACTCATGAACAGCCTTGTTGGGTTGATGGTCAGGACATGATAAAGAGCAGCCACTCCCAGCACAGGAACAGGGAGTTCCCCAATGACTGAAGCAAAGGAGCCCTTACAGCTGTGCATTCCCAAAGCAGTGCTTTGGGAATTCCCAAGCCTGGATCCAGCTGTGCAGCCAGGGCTTTGCTCTTCCTCAGTGCTGGATTCAGGACGATTTTTGCTGGACAAGAAATTAGAGCTGTAGCCTAAGGTTCCCTCCTTGCCCAGGACTGACACCTTTTGTAGTGAGCACAAGGCAAACAACTGATTTTTCAGATTATGAGTCTCAAATCTAAAAAAAAAAAGCCCAGTCCCAAAATATTAATAAATAAATAAATAAAGTTAAAACAAATTAATTTGTGTTGATCTGGAACAAGGATTTTTGAGGAAATTTGGAAAAACAAGGACTTCTAAAATCTGCCTCTTAAATCAAGCCAAGTTTTTTTTGTGGAATTTTTGAGGTATTCCTTTTCCTAAGAATTTTCCACCTCTTTAAAGCACTAGCTATTTTGAAAATGAAAACATTTTTCATTCAACTCTTACATTTATATAATCCCAAAACAAAACACCTTAATTACTCCAAGAATTTTTGTTTCTTTTCCAGTAGTGAAGATTTTTCTGAATTTGACCCAGATTTGCAAAACTGTTTTCATCTTCCAAAAAATGTATTTGTGTCCAATAAACTATTTACATATTTATTCAGCTGTTCTCATTATTTTCCCAGAGTCTGGGAAATAAGGAGACAAAGGCTACTCCAATAAATTATTTGTAAGTACCCTCTGGGCTTTGTCAGAAAGGAAGATAAACATTTGCTCTGTTTTCTGGAACAGGCTGCCCAGAACCCAGGGGACTGAGGCTGTTTTGGGCCTCTGCAACTTTTTACTACTAATTCCTTTAAACTACAGTTGTGGTTGAACCAGCTCTGAAAAACAGATGCTGTGTGGGGAGAGGAGGGCAGGTTGAAGGGCTGATGCT